AGGAGAAACCATAATAATTCTCCTGACAATACTTTTTAATCACTGCCTCAACATTGGCTATTTCCCAATAGCATCGAAGGAGCCACTAGTTGTACCACTACAGACAAATTTCCCTATTATCGCTCTTTGGGAAATTACTGGAGCACTTTATCAACTGGTTTATTGAAGAAAAGAAAATCCGTAGAGATTGCCAGTTTGGATTTCGAGCAATCGCTCGGATTCGATCAACAAACCTGTCGCATGGTAGCAAGTTTTCTAAAGGATCGATTATTTCGTGTGAGAGTAAGGGATAAGATGTCGATCGGTCAAAGCAAGGGAGCATCAGGGATCACAACTGGGATCGGTTCTATACAACATGTTAGTTTGTGACATACCAGAGCCAACTGAAAGAGGACTGCTGTTAACATACTTGCACTGCGAGGCTGCTTTGGAAGCACTGTGGAAAGAAAATTAAAGGTGTAGATGGAAATACTTCACAAATACTTCAGCAATGGGGATTCAATGTTGGAAAGGGTGGTTTTCAAGAACAAACCCAAGTCCACTGCGAAGAGCTTCAAAAATACATTCCAACTATAAAAGTTGGAAATGAATCCATAGGTGTGGCAAACAGGATGATCCTGCATGAAAGATTCAACTTATCAGAGACAAAAAAAAATAACTTTGCCTATCAAAGACTCTTTCAAATACGATCGGGGCTTTCTTCGGAGGTAAAGTTGCTAATATACTCATACTCCTTTTCTGCATGGTAAGACATATCGTCACCTCAAATGGAAAGGATTAGAATGTGGGAGAGATTCCTGCTAATGGAAGAATTCTATATGATGAATATGGCCGTCTGATTTACTACCATCAGAGGTACCACAGATTTGGCGACACAGATATTGAACCTGTATATAATACAGCTCAAAAAAATAAGAATTGTAAATGGTTTAATTTTAAGTAAGATTGAACAGATTAACCAAACCATCCATTAACCAAAATCCTCACTATTGGGAAAATCGCACGATTTCAGTCAAAAACCAATCTCGAAAATAGAAAAGATCTTGACCGATTGGACTTATCCTAGTTCATACAATAGCTATATAGGTCCAGAATAACATGTTAATAGTTGGAACCGATCTGATTAAGAGTTTTTGAGTTATCGTGCCCGACAATCGTAAAAACGCGGTGTCGAAAAAAGGTGTTTAAAGTTTTAGAAGCACGCTTGCAGTCGCTTGATGCTGACACAATATATCGATTATATCTTCAAGAGTTATTGAAATTTTAAACGGACATTCCTGCGATGCTATTGGTTCATATTAATATAATTTTAAAAAATTTACCAAACTTGACGTGTGTTTTTCGATTTTGGACTTTCGCTCCGGATTTTTCCATTGGGACCATTGGACTTTGGTTCCAATGTCATAGCCATAGACCCATGAATAGGAACTTGTTGAACAAGAGCAAAAATGAACGACTGGAGCAAAGTGAACTATATGAACGAAAGAATCGGATCTAAAACGGCATATACATTAGAACTTTTTACCGGGTTAATCTACTTTATGAGGATTTATTTGACATATATGCAAAGGAATTTGCAATTGAAACCCACTGGGTTAAATCCGGTTAAATGTAAACGTACTATAATAATCGTTCGTTTTGAATTAGTTCATTCGGGAAAGGTCCAACTTAAGACATAACATTCTTAAAATACCGGAGGAGTGAAGAGACAGATAGTAGAAGAAATGAGTATATTAGAAACCTTTCAACTCAGTATAATCAATTATCTGGTGCGTAAAAACGAAATCTGGAAAACCCTGATCTTCTTACAATTCCCTCAGAAGAGGCGAAGGGAAAAGAGAAAGCTTAGTCAGCCACAATAATCCATATACTAATGGGCGATCAAGCTCAAGCAGTTTGTAAATTCCAAAAGGAATCGGAAGATGACAGCAAACACTGGTAAGGGGCTGTCATCTTATGCGATTTTAGAAGAAATCATTATAGAGTCAAGCTCTGCAGAGATCAACGAAAATAGTGCGTCCGGTCAACTGAGCAAGGAATTCTTCGACCACCTTCTGCGAAGTTGAGAGTTTAAGGAGGAATTCACAACATAAGGCGTACCTCAATGGCGTACTTCAATGAAAATATTACATACTAATATTTTAAGACTGATTTTTTCCTAAACTAAAAAAATTATAACCCTTAAAGTTTTCTTACACTTACCGATTACAACAATTTCGGAAGAATCTTCCGGATGTAAAGCATAAATATTATGCTTTTTAATGCGTGCTATATTTCCATTGCACTTTATCAGTCGAACTTCACGCGGTGACAGGGCTAATGTGACCGCTGTATGTTCATTGGTGCTGCCACATTCGTCCACCATCGTTGTCGTGGTGGTGGCGATAGCAGTAGTCGCTGCTGCGGCATTATTATTGTTATTATTACTATTATTGGTGGCAGTTACATTGACCACTTCGGAAGCTGTTATATCTTGTTCTTCATGATCGTCCACCACACCTGAATCATCCTGAGATGATTCACGATTCACACCACCGCCGGCTGAATTTGAGCTACCTTGGCGGCCGGCATGCACCAGCTGGCCGGAGGGATACAACATATTTGGATTATTTTTATTGTTTTTATTTAATTTTTTCACATTCAGAACGGACGGGTCGAAGCTAAATGTTGAATCATCACGATGATCCATTAAGTCTTTTTTACGTTCCTGGAAAATCAGAACAACATTATTGAGATTCCCTTACACCAAGAGTTCCAAATTTTTAACCGACTTACTTCATTCGTTATTTCGGCTTCTTCCTCGTAACTTAGAGCAACTACGGCTAACATTAGATTTATTAAATAAAATGAACCAAAAAACACAACCACTGTAAAAAATGATACACTCATCGGTCCCGAAGTGGCCAACACCATATTATACACATTCTCCCAATAGTCCAGGGTGATTAACTGAAAAGTTGTCAACATCGACCACATAAAGTTATCGAAATTCGTATAACCATGATTGGGATTTTCGCCCACACACAGGCACGTATAGCCTTCGGGGCAGTGACGTGCCCCCGTTAAGTTACCACATAACAGAGGCAGCTCCTCGTCATCGTACAACCAATTGTCTGTGTCGTTTATCCATCTGTGAAGAGAAAGGATATATTAATATATTTAAAATAAAGTTATCCTTATAGTTTAGGGCTACTACTTACAATTTCCATTCAAGATCGGTGGTATTGACCCAATCTTCTGGTACATTTTTAACACACTTATTTCTCAGTTCACCCATGTAAACCTGAATGAGGGAGGAAATATGAAAATGTTCAGATGTTATTCGATATGTAGGGATAATGGGTTAAAAATGTTATTGAATTGAATTCTATTAAAGTAAAATGCAATTAAAAATATACAGTATTGTTTATTACATTTAAGTAAAATGTTATGAAAAATACATGAAGATGTAATAAACAATATACAGTATGTCAAGAAAAAGTTCACACTTGGATAATTATTAAACACTTTCAAATATAGAAGGTCGAATAATGATCCTAGGCATATTTGTAATGAATTACGGCATTTTCGATAAACACTATGTGGTGAAATACTATTGGAGAGTGGAGTGATCTCCTCACATACACTGCGTGTACTTGCTTAAGGATGCTCCTATAATAAACTTTAACAATTCATCTTCTTTTACTTCTGTCATTAGTTTCGTAGATAAATAAGTTTCTACTAATTGATCTGATGAACATTTATAAGAATATATTGCTTATCAGCGTCACAACCACAATCGTTCTTGTACTAGAGGTATGCCATATCCGCCTGCATAGACCTTACTAATTCATCTTCTTTTGCTTCTGGCATTAGTTTCATAGATAAATATATTTCTACTAATCGTTCTAATGAAAATTTATAAGAATATATTGTTTATCAGCGTCACAACCAAAATCGTTCTTGTACTAGAGGTATGCCATATTCGCCTGCAGCAGAAATTCATGAAAACTGTGAAAATATCTAGGAATTAAAATATATCTATGATAGAAACAAGCGTCTCAATTAAACAATTTTGACCATTTCCTGTCCGAGAAAAATATAAATCTAACATATGAGAATTATTTATTGGCTCTTAGATCGTCGTAAAAAACCTCAAAATTTCTTAAAATGAAGATTTGAAAACAAAATATTCAACAAAACCCCACAATATTGTCACTCCACACAGCAATTATACGGATATAACTCATTAACTATATTAATAAGTCAAATCGTGGAGCTTCGAGATGCTGTTGAAGAAATTAGAGCTGGCAACCATTCTATAAAGCAAAAGCTACAGCGTATAGCTCAAAAGTCTATCTCTGGTACTGAAATATCAGCACAAGAGTCAACATATTGCTGTTTTGGGATGCGGCTTTCAGAAAGTAGTAACGCCGAGGTTTACATAAATACTGGACGACCAGAACAGCGAATATTTCTGTTAAGACCTCAAGAACAGCTACAAAATTTACCAACATACCGATTTGCATATCCCATCTTGATACAACGCCTATGTACCGTTGTCTTGTGAATGTTACTGTCATCCACTATCTCGCGCACGCTACACCGTATCCGTCGTTAGTGAGCGTCTGCTGCGGTCTCCATCTTCCAAATCAAAATTGCCGCCTCTAAATTTCTTACACCAATTGCGAACGATCCTAATGGTCGAGTACCACTCCCGTAAATGCTGCAAATTTCATGTGCAGTGTTCTTTGCACTATTGCCTTTTTTAAAGCAATGAAGCATAACATACCGTAAATACTTCTTTTGGTTCTCCATATTGAACGGGACAGAAACAAATTTTAGAAGACGCTTTGTCACCAACGAAACGAACTTTGAAAGAGCTCTGAGACGACTGAAACCGATACCATAAACGGCTAGGAAATAAGCCTGCGTGTTTATATGAGCATAGCCAGTCAGACTAATTCATAGCGTGGCGCGGAAGAAACTTATGGGACAACCTAATATAAATATTTCAGAACCCGCAGAAACAAAGCCAGTGCAGGAGACTACGAAGAGCATGATGATCACGAAGATCGGTTACCACCGTTCGGACAGACAGACAGTCATTTTCGATGATGCACATTTTTATATGTGTTTAAGAGGAGATTATGATTTACAAAATCGTCCAAATACGCAAGCATTTGGAAGAACTCTGAAAAAAAAATTGAAGAGACTGGAACGGTTATAAATATTTTAAGGCCGGAGCACTATAGTTTCGCTAGTACCGCTGAAATTATCGAAATTTTCATACACAAAATTGTCATAGTTGGGTTTTTGAGAATCCTCAAGTAATTAAGGAAATGCCATTACATCCGGAAAAGATCACAGTCTGGTTGTCTGCTATTAAAGAATACGACTTGGTGAATATGGGGTATCAAAAAGACGGTGTCAAATGTAGCGGCGTAATTTCTCGTTGTGGCGATACCAACTGGCCACCAAGATCATTTTATTGGCTATGCGAAAGACCTTGTTTTTGCTGATAAACCTTCAACACATGAGCACTTAAAAACTAACATTCGTCGAGTTAGGGCTGAGATACCGTCCAATATATTTCAAAAAGTGATCGAAAATACCTCAAATTCACCTTTCCCGTCTATGACCTTCAGCAGTAAATATGTTGTTATATTAAAGGTGGATCTTGAGTCCACACAAAGCTATAATACCCTTACAACATTGTTGTGTAGCGTATTTTATACGTGTTTTATATACGTTTACTATTGAAACTTCGAAATGGATAACCATGTAATTTCTAACTTTTTAAATAATCTTTCATTCCTGATGCTGAAAATCATTTTTGAGAACAAAAAAATAAAACCCTAATATACACCGCTTTTCCGTTACATCATCCATTACATTTGTCATGCACGCAATTTGTCATGGTTGTTGAACTTTCGTATAGTGTATACCTCTCTTTATATGTGTTGCTAAAACCGTTTGGCACAAAAATACAGCATACTTCTAGGCGGCAATTATTAAAACGCTCATTGTCGTCAGTGTTATTTTCGATCATAAATAAATACGGGATGATTCGGACAATTATTTAAAGAATGTTTAAACTGTACCTAATATATCGACTGGATTAGGAAAAACCTAAAATATGCCCTAATACACCCTCCATTAAATTTATGACTACGATTTACTTCACATTGGCGCTATGGAATTGACAATTAAAATCGAGTGGATTTCCCCGTAACCGTTTAGACCAACTTTGAGATGATGGACTCAATATTATTAAATTAGTGCCTTATCGAGATGATAAATTAAAAACAATGATACATGGAAATGTAAACAGTATATTATACAAAACATTAAATCCACATCAACTTACCTGCAGTGCGAACAGTGCAAAGACCATTAAACAAAATATGGTCAACGTCATGACCTCGGCCAATTGACGAAACGAGTGCAATAGTGCATTGATAATAGTCTTTAAACCTGGCATTATGGAAACAGTCTTTAAGGCTCTCAGCACACGAAATGTACGCAAACCGGCCAAATTGCCCACATCCATGCCGATGGTTGCATAACCGCTTGCTATGACCACAAAATCCAGCCAATTCCATGGATTCCGTAAATATGTGTACTTGTTGAGCAGGAAGCCTTTGGCAATGATTTTGATTACCATTTCAATGGTGTAAATCGCTAGGAAGACAAATCTAAAGAGAAACGATAACAACAACAAAAAATACAAATAATGAAGAAAAAAGGGGGCGAAAGAAAATGAAATGGAAAATCAGAAAATTTTGTATTGGATGCTGCTGCGTTGTGCGATAATGACATTGATTGAGTGATTGCATGGATTGGTTGGTTGATGTATGGACATATATAGATTGATTGGCGGGACACTTACTCAGCTTCTTCGACTGTCTCTGTCATGGCTAAAAAAATGCAATTAAACAATATTGTGGCCATGACACAATAATCGAAGAACTGATTTGTTGCTATATAGACGCATATTCGTCTCGCCGCACTCCATGGATGGAAGAGAAATAAACTTTTGGTGCCGGTAAATCGATGTATGTAATTTTTGCGAAAACGTTTTGAAACCACACAGAATGTCTGAAAATATATAGATGAAGAAAAAGGAGAAAACATTTGTTATTACATATTTTGTTAGAGTTTAAAAATTATTATAGTGTAACAAGAATGTAAATTAATGCAGCATCGTGTAAGATATTTATAGGATTCTTCTTATATATTCTTAAACTACATTTGTATTATTAAATAATTTCATGGCAGTAATTTTTTATTATGACTAAAAATAGCATATGTTAAAAGCGAATTTACATATAACATCTAATCATGATTAAAAGGTGAATCAGGGTTTATTTTCTTAATCGGGCTGAATTTACCATGATTTCTCATACAAATTTAAATCATTGTGCGGCAGGGTTTATTTTAAATCATGATCGAAATCATGATACTACTGAGATACAACGCGGGTTTTGTACGAAAAAATACAACTCTCTCACAAAGTACCAAAATTTGCAACTGTTTTTACATGCCGTTTATTTTTAAATTCAACGGCTGACAAATACAAAAATGAAAGATCAAAGAAAATGAAAAATTATTTATAGAATTTTTGTGTTTTTAGTTCTTTTTTTTTACTTTTGCATCAAAGTATTGCAAAAACATTTCCATTGTGGTAATTCTTCTATTCTTTTTTCAAATTGCAAACAAATATTTTTGGCGCAAAATAATAATTTTTTATGTATACTAACAAACATCAGCTGATCGGCATTTAGATCATGATTAATGATATGTGTAAACAATTAGGGTGTATTTCTGGATTTCGTTAATCGAGTCGATTTAAAATATTATATGTAAATGTACTTTAAAAAAATATATTTAAACCCGATGTTTTTATTAACATTTTTTTCAAAAACAGTACCATCTATATTTCAAGTGCTGACATTTTATGATCACGTGAATACATTTTGCTAAAGATTCTTCGCAAGTAGATTTATTAGGGTAGCTATGTTGGCAAAAAAAGCTCTCTAAAAAATTGATATTTAAAACAAAATTAGCAATTTACATTGGCTTCTCCGTTAACCACGTGGGTTATACACCAAAACGTTTATATCATTACACTTTATATTCTACAAGTCCTGCAACCTATACAGAATGTCAATAAAATGTTCCTAAAAAATTTACGCAAGCTTCCGAAAAGCACACCACATTTTTGGAGATTTGGGCACGGTTTTCAACCTAATTCGCGGTATTTGGTTGTTTTATTTGGTAGCATAATTCCAACTTAAAATTGTCAATATTGGTCCACTCTTCTGTATTTTGGGTAGTTTGGTCACGTGTTTCAACCAAATTGGCTGCAGTTTTATATTTTGGATGATCAGTGAGTACAAAATCTCCTTACAAAGAATTATTAATATTGGTCCAAGTTTCCGAGTAGCACCCATATTTCCTCATTTGGTGTCAAATCTTCCTACCAAAAATTAATATATCTCCATTCTGATTGTAGTATCTAAAATATGTCATTCCGGGATATTGGAGTGAGACACATTTTTGCGAAAAAAATATCTATTTAGGTCTAAGCTTTGATATAGCAATACATACAGGTCTCGCCCCATTTTTGGTATTATAAAGACATTGACCTAATTTTCTCGTAGAGTTGGCTATAATTAGGCATAACGGATTCCTGTGGATAAAAGACATCATCCCAGAAATTGTGCACTATAGGTTAACGTTTTAAAAATACGCCATAATTATTTCCCGTTCAATTTTCGGTATGTTGAAGTTCTTACCCCCTGTTTTCCAACCTGAGTGTTATCAGTATTTGGCATGTTCAAATTATCCTGCACCATATGTGTTGACCCAAATGACGTCATTTGGAAGTATTTGTATTTTTGGATGTACCTTAGAAAATGGACCGAATCAGTGTTTGAACCTGACACTAATCCATTCAGTGGCTCAGGTGGTGGATCCAATTTTTGCAATTTACTTTGCCGTTTGCGCAACACAATCCAGGTGATTCGCCGATGAATTTTAACGCGTTACAGTGCGAACAAATGATGGACGAATGACATGTTCATGGATTGATCTAAGTCGGTTCACAATTAGAAAAAGATAATAATCTGTTAGGATGCATATGTTTAATATAGCCATAGTGGTTTTACTACATTCCTTACTGGTTTAGTTTTGTATCTCAATACCTTCCTTCAAGCTAAATATATGTTTATACCCTACACCACACTGTGGTACAGGGTATTATGTAAATATACCTGTCACCTCAGCCCATTGTGTAAAAGCAATAGGGCTGCTACAACAACAACAACAGGGTATTATGTCTTTGTGCATATATTTGTAACAGGCAAAAGGAAATGAGATAGACCCATAGTTCTTTTTTAGAGATTATGCATATAATCACCTTCTAAGTCGATTTACGCATGTCCGTCCGTCTGTCTATGTTAAATTGTAAACAAAGTACAGGTCGCATTTATGATTCGAATTGGATGAAATTTGGCATAGGTCACTTATTTGACCCAAGGACGAACCCTATTGAAATTGAGAAAAATCGGTTCAGATTTAGATATAGCTCCCATATATATTTTCGTCCGATTTAATGTAAATATAAGTCCCTATATATCTTTCGATATGTACACAATTTGGCACAGCGTACTGGATTAGGTCTAGACTGATGTGTGTCAAGTTTCCTGAAAATCGGTCCAGATTTAGATATATCTCCCATATATATTTTCGACCGATTTAATGTAAATGGTGTACCAAAGTCCCTATATATCTTTCGATTTGCACGAAATTTGGCACAGCGTACTGAATTAGGTCTAGAATGATGTGTGTTAAGTTTCGTGAAAATCGGTTCAGATTTAGATATAGCTCCCATATATATTTTTGTCCGATTAATTGTAAATGGTGCACCAATATATATAGTATATATATACTATATCTATAGCAACTCTATATCTGACCAAATGAAAAATTTAGTATAGGTTGCAGAATGACATGTTTATGGATCCATTTTTGTGTATATGGTCCTTCAACGTCTGTTAGGATTCATCTGTTGAATATACCCAAAGTGGTGACGGGTATCATATAGTCGGCCCCGCCCGACTTTACTTCTTTCCTTACTGGTTTTCATTTAAAGCAATTTGTCTTGCATTCTCTGAAATTTGATTGAAAGTTTCACAAGTTTTATGAGTACAGGAACGGGGTTCGGGTACAAAATTACAAAACCTGTAAATCATTACAGGTTCTGGAACGTAGCTTATGTTATTTTTAGAATGTCTTGTTCTATTCACAACAGATATTTTTTTCAATTCGTGTTACATTGGTAAGAAAAAACTATCAGGGTAATAGTTGTAGTTGTATATCAATGAAAAATTAAAAATTACTCTTCGATATCCTAATATATTGAATACGTTTTTGTGTTCACCATAAAACTAATGAAATGATAGCAGCGTTTAATCTTGGAAAGGGGCATTAAGTTGGTAAGGGTTGAACACTTTCCATGGATATGTAAACGTGGTTATATTCATTTCCATGTAGATAAAAGTTTGTAATATTATGCTGCATTGTTTTGCAACTGTGGAAAAAACAAAATGTAGTTTAAAATGTACACAAATAATTCCCATATAATTTATTTATATTATTTGAAATCATAAAATAAATAATCTATTCTTCCACATTTCTATTTCATAACACACAGTCTGTTGCGAAGCGCCATCTACATTTCACCATTGTTACTCACAACACGTGCTGACCAATGAGGTCACAAATCACATTGCCAACCATCAACACACAAGTAACCATTTTGGTATACCTATTTTATCAACACTGCGCATGTAATCAACCCTGTCCCCGATGGTAACCATCTTTGACAAAAGTCAACGAATAGAAGAACTTCCGCCGAATCTTTCTTTCGTTCTCAGTCGTCTTCGAGTATAGAAGCATTATGAGAGCTAAGGTAATTTGAAATTAAAAAAAAGAATATTTAAAGGAAAAAAATGTGTTTCTATTGAAAGTGCAATAATACAACAAAAAAAGATCTATACAATTAAAGAAAAATAAACAATGTGCATTACAAGTAAAATGGATTAATTAATGAAAACAATGTGAAATTTTGGGAAACTATGTGGATTGCAAAGATATTTCATGGAAATTGCGCATTGAATTTTTCCACACTCTATTATTTGTGGTGCAAATTGTGTTGTAGAGAATAAAATATTTCTTTTAGTTATTAATTGTGGTGCATTTAATTAATTGTATTATTTTCTATTTATTTATAGTGGCGTAAGAAGCGTATGCGTAGGTTGAAGCGTAAGCGCAGAAAGATGCGTGCAAGGTCCAAATAAGTTGATACTGGAAAACCCCGCTAATACAATGTAAGTTTCTGTATATCCATCCAATCAATATTTGGAGTCATCCAGTATTGATTTAAATTAGATTTCAAAGCCCAGACACAATGCTTGCAATGTGTTTAACCGCAAAATATTTTCTGTGCTTTGAAGTTTGAAAATTCTATTCCCTATTCCTATTGTATTCAAATTAACTAATTTCTTTTTTTCTCTTTCTATTTTCCATTACAGAATTCCGTAAACACAAATGGGAAGCTTCAAGTTATAAATTTTTTGTACGCACCCCATTGTCACTGTTTGATGATGGTCCACGTCATGTTTCGAAAGCAGCAGATATTACAATATTTTTGTTGTAATTGATGTTTTAAACTGAAGAAATAAAGAGTAAAATCTTTGGATTTTTACTTGAAGTGAAAATTTTGCAAAAATGTGTATTCATTTATTTTGTGGGGTCTCGTCTGGTTAATAGAGAACGGAGTTGGGCAAATGGTGGATGATAAAAATACACCGATTGTGTATGTGGAGCACATTGGTGGCGTTTGTGTATTGGTGTAGGCACCACGTTGTCATCGTTTATAACCTCAATGTTTTTGTGTGTGTGGTGTATACGGTGATTTCATAGTTGGTCATGTATAATGGGGGAAGCACATTCGGACAAAGTGTTAGATCATGGAATAGAAGGGAGACCCACCGGTATTTATTCAAAATGTTGTGGAAAGCAGTTTATAGGAA